TACATAGGGATAGAGAAAAAAGATTTAAAAAAATCCAACCCTCTTTCCTTAAAAAGGTACAGATAGATTGAACAAAAGATTACACTTCACAGACCACAAATGGGAATGTTGGAATTTTATCCAAATTCATCTGAAACTATGCCAAAGGAATAGAAATTCAGAGCAGGCAATCGAATTGAAGTTAAGAAAAGAAAATTAAAAATCTCTTAAAATGGAAAAAGTTAGAAAATCCTAGTAGGAAATTTGTAAAAAAAAGAGTACAACAAAAATTTAGTTAGAAGCAAATCCCGGAAATAAGTTCCAAAAGAAACTGTATTGAAGTCACGTTACACTAGTAACGTCGGACAGCGGATGATATATATGAATAGTTCAAAGTTGTATGGAAGTCTCATCTAATATACGGTAAAAGAATTAGAAACGCCTTTGATTCAAAACTCTATAAATTTTCTAAAACTATAAATTTTTTAACGTACAAATTATATATTCCGTAATTAAAACTGTAGCTTTGTAAGTTTTTAGACATGTTTTTAGTTTTCTTTAAGCTGCCCTTTTCGTTTAGCTATCTTTAAAGCACATTCAACCCCAACGCAATTAGTGTGGTGTTACATTAATATTAAATATTATAAAGTCTCTTGCTAAATTGTAACAAACGCAATTAATATGATGTTACATTAATACTAAATATTATAAAGTTATGTCTCTTATTAAATTGTAACAGCATAAAATTGAATACTAAATTTAGAAATGAGAGCAGGCATTTTATAGACCCTATAGTAAAGTGAAGATAATGTCTGATGTACTTGGTAAAAATTTTTATTAAGCATTACTTTCAGAATACAAGAGAAACACGCTAAAGCGAAACATGAAATTAACACAGCAGTAGCCTTGCGTCTGGCGTAGATTTATTAAAGGACTCAATGGATTTCGACAGCAAACAGGTACAAGTTCCTCTTCATCAGGAGCAAAGAAATCTGCAATAATTTGCTAATTTCATGATAAGCGGTGCTTTATTAAAACCATTTTAAATTGGTATAATTTTCTTTTATAAAAATGGGGAACTATTCTTTTCAGTCAATTTGTTTAGTATGTGATGCAATTGCTTTAATGTGTCGTGTTCAGCTTTTAAATTTAGGCAGTTCTAATCAGCAAAAAAGCATTCTTAGTTTGGTGCAGATGTTGGATGAATGTCTTTTTTTCGATTATGATCAGAAATAGCCATATTCATTATGGCAACACTTTTAAAAAAGCGTAAAATCTACATAAATACCGATAAAGTCTCGTGATCTGCAATATCACGTACGCTGAGCAGAAGAAGAAGTTCTTTATTCAAATTTCACTTTACATCCATTCGCACAGTGCCAGCTGCTTGGGTTATTAAAAGCAATGTGTTAAGTTTCGAATCAATCGGATTGAAAGTTTATGTGCAATGTCTCCTTCTTTAGTCGAGCGTGCGCTACTGGTCAAATTCTTTTACCTTAACCAGTGCAACGCGTCAGCCGCTCTTCGTGCTTTTAGAATGCACAAAAAATGCGTAAAGGCAACGGTTCTGTGTCAGTTAATGGGTTAAAAGCAATGGCTGCGACGTTTGAAAAAACGGGTTCTCTGAAGGTTCAATCAGGCAGAGGACGAAAACCTGTACCACAGGATACAATCGAAGCAGTTGCCAAGGCGATTGTCGACAGACGACCAGACAATATTGCTGCCACCTCTAGCGCTCGTGGAGTTGCTCGGAATATGGATATGCCTTACAGTACGGTATGGAAAATCTTGCGAAAGATTGTCAACTTCTACCCGTACAAGATAAGCCGTGTACCCCGACCATGATAAGCGATTGACTTTTGCTCTCACCTTTCTTCCCAGAATGGAGGTGGCGATGCTTGGCCGTGGAAATTCTTATGGGGAGACGAGGCCCATTTTTACCTGAATGGAACTGTGAATACCCAGAACTGCCGAATTTGGGATGACAAATCACCACATGCAGTCACAGCAATTCCCTTACATTCACCAAAGGTAACTGTTTGGTGTGGGTTCACAGCAGAATTTATCGTAGGTCCATTCTTCTATGAGAACATTACCCGGACAGAACCGGAACTTTCCAACTGCATGGCCACCTCGGTCGCCTGATCTTACCCCATCCGACTTCTGGCTATGCGGTTACCTTAAGTCCAAGTCTATCAAGGAGTGGTCCAGGACCTGGCTACGTTGAAGGATAACATACCACAGACTGTACAGGAGATTCCTGCAGACATGTTACTTTCTGCTGTTGTGCATACTGTGCACAGAATGCAATATGTAGTCCACAACAACGGCAGCCACATTAAACCTCATTTGAATGCAAAATAAAAGGTAATTTCCGTATTGATTTGCATTTGTTAACACTGTATTTTCTATTACACAGTGCCAAATATTCCCCTAGCGGTGACTTTTGGAACGAATTTGTTTTTTTCGCGGAATACTTCGTTCCCCGTCTTGTTTAATCTTCCTACAAAATGTGGCGTCATTCTCGCAAAAAGATCGCGCTACAGAACACTGTGAGCACTGTCAGTTTAATTATGGCCACCTGGTATATAGCTTTGGAAAACTTACAAATTTTTGATTAACAAACTACGATTTGAAAGCGAGCAGCAGCATCACCTTTCGAAATGAAGAATTTTTATCTGCAACGCGCGAGAACGTTGCCACTGGCAAAAATGTGTGAGAAAATTAGTGTTTTCAGAGTTTTTAATTAATATGTCTGATTAAAGTCCTACGAAGATGGGAATAATCGAAATGGCTTTCCACGGACTTTTGAAATCAGGAATAATGTATTTAATGTTTGGCAATGCTATTTTTATTTAATTGTAAAACTTAGAAAATTTTACTAGCAAATTCTATGACTTGAAAAGCGAGCAGTGGCAACACGTCTCGAAATAAAGCAGATATTTATCTCCAGCGTGCGAGACTGTTGCCACTCGGCAAAATGAGGGCGAAAACTAGCGTTTTCAGAGTTTTTAATTAATATCTCTGATTTAAAAATTTTCTTTTCGAAAAAGTAGACGTCGACCTTTCCCAGGATCCAGAAAAGAATTCTAGAAAGTTTGGTGACGATACCTATAGTAGTGTAATGGCAAACAAACAAACACACAAACAAACATTCTTCTTTATAGATAATAATTGCAGAAAAGTTTACAAGAAATGAAATTTATATAGATCATATAAGAGAACTAAAACATAACGAAGGGAATTTTAAAAGAATTCTTAAATTGGAATGATTTTGTAATTGTCAGGTTATGAATGAAAAGACTGTATGCGGATCAAATGTGTCTCGTGTAGGCAAAATGCAATGAAAAGTTGAATCTTCTGAATACAAGATTAATTTTTTATGAAAAATCGTAATATAATCTTTAATAAATGCATTTATTTTTTTAAAAATTGATAAAACTGTAGTTTATGGAAAACAGTGTATAATGTAAATCCAATTGCATTAAGAGGAACTTTGTTTTATTTGCTACAGTTTTAACCTTTCAACGTGACTTTATATTATTTGCTTCAGTGTTTAAGTGCAATTTGAAATTTTATGTTCTTATTTATATCCGTATGAACCTTCTAATTTCTTTTATTTGTAATTCAAAATAATTTTTAAAATTTATATATTTTTGTAAATTTAATTTTACTTTTGGTGATAACGTTGCGCTCATAACTTTTAAGAAGACTAATTTAACGGTAATTTAATAATATTTTAATCATAAGTAATAAAACAATTCCACAATAATCTCTGTTTTTTCTAAATATTTTAACAAATTATAAAACATATATATATACATAATAAAATAAATGAAGTATCCGTTGAGACAAGGATTATGGTATTTCGCAAAGTGATATTTATTAGTGAAATATTTTTATTGCTATTGGTAAAATGTATGGTAACTACACATCAATAATTATGTTGAAAAATTCTTAATCCTTAAAAATGAAAATCTTAAGCAGAGATAAAAGCATAAAAACTGTAAAAGTGAACTGTCATTTCCAATTTTCACTAAAAATTAGATAAGCGTGAACTACCACAGAGTTTTTTGATTAAAAAGTTAATTAATGATAAATATTTTTGAATTGAAAGAAGTGAAATATTTTTTATGCTAATATTAAAAAAGGCGCATATTATGTATTTAAAATTGAAACATAATATAAATTGTTGGTGTATTTAATTATGGCAAAGCACACGAGGGCTATCTGCCTAAGAGGAGGGATGCCTTTCGTGGAGGACTTTCTAAGGGAAACTGGCTCGTATACACGTTACACATGGGGAAAACCACGAAAACGCCCATTCAGCAAGCCCGTTCGCGGGATTTGAACCTCGGACCGAACTAACAGTGTTCAGCGACATTACCGCTCGGCCGCTGATGGGCTAATATAAATTATACTTAATCAAATGTTTTCCTGATTTTAAATTCGATGTTAGCTTTTTAATGAATTCATTATGAAACATTTTTAATTTTTAACAAAATAAAGTCGACGACTTATAAAAATAATTGTTTTTTATCTATATTGATATAACATAAAACATTTTAACATAATTCATAAGAAATATATTTGTCAGGGAATAATTTCTTTTGTCAGGGAATAATTCTTCTTGTCAGGGAATAAAAACATTTTATTATATAACAAAGAAATGACAATTATTTTAAAATTTATTTAAAGCACTTGCAGTGTATGCATTTGAATAATAAGTAAAAAATTAAATATTTCGCCTTGGTGAATTTACTTTTAAAATATTTATTGTAAAAGCATGTTATCAGAAATGCCTACAATTTTATTAAAAATTGACCACATTTCTACTTTTTGAATCGAATGATTAGAATCATGCATAGCTGCATAATAGTTTTCTTTCTTGGGTCAAATCCTTATTGATTCTAATTTCGAAATGTAAAGAAGCTTGATCTGAAAGCGTTATGCTGTAGTATATTATACTGACAATTAGGTAAATTAGGTTATTTTGATGCTGGGGACGTGAAAGTGAGCAACGCCCTTGCCAGGACTCGAACCTGGACCTTTCGAATATTCGTCGAGCGTGCTACCATTACACCACGAAGGCATGCAGAAAGAAGGGAGAAAATACCTTATAAAATCATAAAACTTAAACTAATGAAAAGGTTTGACATAACTGCCGTAAGATTAAAAGAAAGCATATGCACACGGTACTTTATTGACAAACTAACAAAGAATTAAATTACGACATGGTACTAAGTACTGATAAAGTGCAAATTACAATTTAGATGCCAATTATTATCTCACTAATTAATTAATGGATCATAATGTAATTTAGAAATCCTTGACAATATTACATGTTACACACATCGGATGTTTTAGTAATATGTTTCTAATTCTGTTGAGTTTACAGATAACCGTGAGTATCAATTTTCAGGTACGGTAATATAAAAATTGCAGTATACCTTCTTGGTATCATTTACCAGTACATGGTTTATAAAATTAGATTTGTTATCCAATATTTCAAATTATCATTGCAGATACGGATTTCTTAAGTACAGTTGGAGCATAAATTCTTTGATGCAAAGATCATTTTACGGAAAGCGATAATTTTCATATTTCTATCATGATAAGTTAATTATTTGAATACAGAAAACCATAAAACGGCTATCTGCCTAGAGCGAAAGATGCCTTGGTAAAGAATATTCTAACGGCACGTGCCTCGTATTCAGGGTGCACATGGAGAAAACAAAGAAAAGCAACCATGCAGGCGGCTCATTCTCCTGGAATAGAATCCAGGTCGAAATCTCAGAAGTTAGCAGTCTTAATAAATCGGTACTGGTTAGAATCTCGTTATACAATTCAAGCTGCAGTTTAACTAACAATGTGCTTAGGACACCCTTTAAAAATCGTTAAATATCTTAGTATATCTTAACTATCTCACTATATCTTAGTATAGTATCGTTAAATATCTAGTTTGATTACCATTCTTAGTACTGAAAGATGTTTACAATTAATATTCAGATTTTTTTATCAATGGTGATTTCATACAGGAAAGAAAACATTGCATCGCAAGCATTAGAAGATGCATAGGTTTGCTTAATCTTTAATAAGACGAAGACTTATTTTCTTCAATAAGGCTTATTTTCTATAAAGAACTTTGAAGCTTTTGCACTGATACGTCAGTATATAACTTTTTAAATGAGAAATTAAATATTTAATCAGAATTAAGTGCGAAAAATCTATATAAACTAAGTGCAGTTCCAGATTTGTAATTATGAACTAAAATTAGTTAGGAATTTGGGGACCTTTTCATCTCCTTCCGGGGAACAGTGGAGTCTACGTCATGGAAACATTCGGAGTCGGAAGTAATTTTGGTGTTGTTGGGATTGCAGCTGGGAAGAATGTACCGGCCCTGACTACTAGTTCTTAATGATTAAATGAGATTTAAGACGCTCAGGAAAAGATCTAGCTAAAGCAATGGAACAATTGTTTGTCTTAGAACAATTGTTTGTCTCTTAGACCTTCATAGTTTAGCCAGCTTTACTGAAATAATTCTCCATTAGAAAAGTATTTTCTCCGACTGCTTGCATAGGACATCCGTATTTTTAGTTGTAATTGCTCTATTTAGATTTAATAACTATTAAGGTATATAATATTTATTGTAAGGTATATAATATTTATTTTGTTGGCTGAAGTTTTTATTATTTACTATAAAGTAATATTATTTAGTAACTTGAAGATTCAGATGATGGTGTCGAAATACTAAATTTGCTCTAACGCTATCATCTTATCACATACAAGTGTATAAATAAGAGCATAACATATTCCTATACAGGTATAAAGGACCCAAAGAAAATAAAGAATGGGTGAGTATGAACAACCTGAAATTTAATTAACAGGGGTTTTGTCAATGCACCGTCTGTAGAGCCTAAAAAAACGTTCCTCACTTATAAGACGAAGGGTAGCTCGACAAAGAAAATAATTGAAAAACTACAAACTACAAACTAAACGAATCTTCTCTTTCTAAGAACTTCAATTTCCAGGAAGAATCTGGTGCCTAACAAAGGTTATTTTAACCTTGAAGTAAATGGTACATTTGTTTGAGATTACCCATCAGTATTTTTGCATTTTGATATTGTAAAATTTTTGCATTGAAAATAAATAATTAAATAAATCTTGCTAAGCGCTGTAGTAAAAATGAATCATATTAATGTTTATGATATATTTTCGTAGTATTTAAAAGAATTACATATCAGAACTAGTTATTATTCAGCGACTTTCAAAAAATCTATTAATCAAGTTGATAAAATTTATTTCAACAATATTTTAGATATATTGATGATGATATAGCAATGAGTAATTTTGAGAAAATTGAAGAACACAATATTTATCCATTCAAATTTAGTCTTATATAAACTTGATGCTACTCAATAAGAAATAAATTATTTAGATTTGCCTATTTTTGAATTTTAAAATATTTCACTTTACGAAAAAAGACTCCCATTTTAACACTATTAAATTAATTCACTGAGAATCTAACATTTCGAAAACAGTTATGAATAACACTATTCACAATCAGCTACATAGAATTAAAAAAAAAATTATTGAGCTAGTTACGTACAAAAAGAAATCATACTTTTCATTAATTCCTTAGTAAAAACAAATACAATTACATATTAACCATTCCATTATCTTCATCTGAAAAAAGCAGGTATTAACTACCAAATATGATCTCTGATTTTATAGTGCGAAATGACCGTCTTATTTTAAACTGCAAGGGGAATAATGCAGAAAGGTAAATAAAATTAGAGAATTGTTTAATGTAAATAATACTCTTTTCATTACAGGTTATGTATTATAATTCTGATTTCTTTTCTTTAACTACCAAGCTTTCTAGTTACGCAAGAACAATAAGACATAGGTAAGTTTTAGAATGACACAGTCGAGAACGATTTATTATAAGCATTCACAACACTAGCGTGCAAATATCAAGTAACAAATTTATTTTTCAGCATACAGCCATGAAATTGCTGAAAAGGAATCGCAAAAAGCCAATTCAGTAGAAAGGTAATATATGAGCCAATGTGAGTACCATGCATTCAAAATAGGGGGGTACGCAAAACATAAGGCGCAGGCGACCGCAGTGCAAGGCAACTTAAAACGACGAAAGGAAGGTGCAGTTCAATGTATTCTGGGCGCATACGACAGGCAGTGCTGTAAGAAAGGTTGCTGGTGTTCAACCAAAGAACCAGACAGATAGCAACACTGCTCAATAGTTGCGGCCGGAAACTGAATGACATGTATCCCGGAATATTGTGGCCAGATGACATCATGAAGATTCATCATGAAGCCTATTTGAGAGCCGTTCTGAATGCTTCAAACCATTGACAGCAGCCCATCTGCGGCACCGTTTACAGTGGTGTAAATAACAGAAAGCCTGGACATTTTATAAATGGAGTCATGTTCTTTTTGCCGATGAGAGTCGCTTCAAACAGACAAATATTTCTCAGCGTCATTTGACGTGGAGAGAAGTAAAGACACGATTTCATTCCTCTAACTGTTGGATTAGCGGAAGCATTTCGAGGAATAAACGGACGGAGTTACACATTTTCGATAGAGATTCACTTACTGTGAATTGTTACTGCGATTAAGTTATCTTCCGCGTACGTCTTTTTCTTGGTGACACTGATCACGAATTTGATTTCAGGGATGATAATGCATGGGCACACAGCACTCATATACTGCTGAGGAGCTCCAGGAAAATGAAAATGTCCGGCTAATGAAAATGCACTGGTTAGCGTGCTATCCTGATTTAATCCCACTGAACATATGCTGAATACTTTAAGGAGACACCTGTCAATTTCATACCCTCCGGAGAACACCATATAATTTAAATAGACGCTTCTTGAAGAATGGAAACTTTTACGCCAAGCACAAGTAGTTAACCTGGTGTTGAGTCTTTGATAGTCGGTGCAACACCACCATTGCAGTTCAGGAAGGTCATAACCGTCACTATTGCTCTTTGTTTTCTGTCTCTTAAAATTTACGAAGTAAATCTTAAATACTTATTTTCTCGAATAAATTCCAGAATGGATTAAGCATGATTTAATTCGCAATAATAAAAGAAGGCGTCATCTTTGTTGTTGCAAAGCCTAGTTTCTCTAGTTTGGCAACAAATCCGCTATTCTGCCAAGTTTAAAATGTAACGTGCGCTTTCTCTTCAGAATTCATTTTAAATCAGTTTTATAATTTTTTTGGGTGAAGACAGTCTTTTATTCTGTCCTTACGTACAGATGTCAAGCAAAAACGTCTTTAAATTACATTCGATAGCGGTCAAAATATGTATTTTTGTTGAAATATGATGCCTGAAACTTTTCACGATTACAGTACTTCCTTTTTACTTCGTACGAGGAAGTAAAAAGACCGTTTTATTAAATAATCTGTGCATCATACATAATAATATAAACATTTATATTCTTTGCAATAAAATCATTTTAATGCATTAGTTGTACGGTGTCCAATTTACATGAAGAAACATTTTTGGTAGTGAAATGTATTAACGATTAATATAAGCGTATGTTTCTCAAACTTCAGATTTCATGGAATAAAATTAATTTTATATCCTTTTAAACAAAAGAGAAAAAGCAATTACGCTTGTTTAAAAAATTAAAATAGCATTACAAAGCTTAGTGCAATTCAGCCATTATAATTGTAATTGAAAAGAAAGGAAGTAACAATACGTCTCAAAAAGAAAAACACAAAAAATGTGTCTCAAAAAGAAACATTGCAAAGAAAATAATAAAAATAAAAGTAGTAAATCCATGCTCTCGAACAAAAGTTTAATGGTGTCGACATTGCACTTGTCTGTGTCATTACGCCACCAAGATATAAACTTGTTGAAACAAAACACAAAAGGAAATTTGTAAAGAAGAAAGCTATAAGAGGCGACTGTGGACAAAATAATAACAGAAGGTTTGGTCCCGTCTATCTTTAAACATGAGACACATTGCGAAATCACAATTTAAGATTACATTTACATTATAAATTTTTTAATGTATTTTTAATTTTTACATTAGGAAGTTAATTTAAAGATTCATGTAGAAA